CCCTTTTGTTCTTGTCCAATCAGGTGGTGCCGTACTATATCGCCCCTTTTTTTGCTTGTCCAATCAGGTGTGTCCCGTTAACAAAGTCCGTCAAATCAGGTGTGTTGCTTTAGAATCACCTTTCCTTGTGGCACGCCCCCATGTACTCACTTGTCCGCAGAGACCCCTACTTGTATTTGTCCTCAAATATGTCCAAATTAGCAATTCAAAATGGTGACTGGAAGTCTTTTTATCTAAATAAAGTTACTTCTCCTGGCCACAAAAGTCCCTCTTCCATGTCTTGAAGTACTCAAAACACTTAATAACAAATATATTTTCATCTTATCAGCCTGTTTCGTCAGCTAACTGGCCAAAAAAATGGTGGAAAACGTTTTCCTGTGGGCGTTAGCTGTCTTCCTTAGCATTGGCTGTGTCCAAAACGGCAGGCTGGGTCCTCCGAAGGTCGAATTTGTCGGCCGCATACGTCACAGTGCCGCGACGAAGGACGTCCAAAACCAAAGACTCCTCCGATGCGGCNAAAAAAATAATAAATAAATAATAATAATCTAAAGCTCCCGTGTTGAATAGTTTTTTGAGTTTTAAGCATTTTTTTATGTTCAGACACCCCCCTTTCAGATGGGGGGTGGGGGGTGTCTCACTGGTGGGCCCAATGGGTAGAGCTTCATCAGAGCTAAACAACAACAAAAAAAATCTAAAGCTCCTATGTTGAATAGTTTTGACTTATAGGCATTTTTGAATGTCCAGACACCCCCTTTTCAAACGGAGCCCCATCTAACATGGGCTCTATCGTAAAACCATTGGCTGGCGCAGTGTAGGTCAGAGTCATCTACATTCCTACTAAATTTCACATTGATCAGTGCAGCCATTTCTGTGGTATGATTGACCAAAAATCTCTGGAAAAAGAAAAAACATGTATAAAGTGGCTGGGTTCATATTTTTAATAATGTAAATTTATATAAATAGAGAAAAGGGTTAAATATGTTAATGTGAATTTACAATGCCTTTACATAACATTTTCTGTAATGATAGATGTTTTACTTGACAAAATTTATTGGGGTTGTGTTAGTCACTGATGTTTTAAAAAAGCWCTACAYTCAAAAACGYCTCACYCTAAGGACMTTAAAGTCTACARACCGGTGGCWCTGACATCCCACCTGATGAAGACTCYGGAGCATCTGGTCCTTATGCAGCTTTACCACCTGGTAAGTGCAGCACTGGACCACTTCAGTTTGCGTACCAGCCTGGCATTGGGGTAGACGATGCTGTCATACATCTGCTACATTGTTCGCTCTCTCACCTGGACACCAGCGGGAGCACTGTGAGGATCACTTTTTTTATGGTTTCTCCAATGCTTTCAACACA